GTCCATTCTAAGGGGGCATTCTATTCCTTCAAGTCCCAGAGCTTCATGTGCAGCTGATTCAAAATCCAATAATAGAGCTTTTCCCTTTCCTATGTCGTTCTAGGGAATGGTGGTAAGAGTCCCTAGGGGAATCAATCCTTCTTTGCTTTAGGGTGGACTATGTCTCTCCCGTCAAGAGAGTGATATATTATAGTGGTCTAACATTCCTCACTTCTGCTTATAGTTTCACATGTTATCTGCACGCACTTATTAAGACATTAACTTCAATTCAGATGCAGTTAATGAGAAAGACAATGTTCTTCTGTTTTGTGGATATACTTGTGGATATACGATTAATGAGATCTTTTATAATTTTGCCTCGACAGGGGCCAAAAGGTCCGGTTGAACACATATACAGAGGTATTCTGTTTATTTATGATCGTAATCACCATATGCATTATGGTTATATTTGCGTTAAATCCGAGTCGTGTGTGGTGGTGGGTGGTGGTGGATTACGCGCAAATGATGATATAAATGTACGCATCCTAACCCTTTTTGTTTTCAAATTCTTGTTGACCAAGTATCTTTTGCAGCATGTGCTTGGTCTTATGCCAATTTAACTTCTCTTGTAGGATAACACAAGGATGGTGAGATTTCCCAGGCTGAGAACTTCTTTTGTTCCTCAATCACCACTGAGACCACCCAGGGGTGATCCTATGAATTGTAAGTCACTTTTGTTGGAAAATGTGACGTAAATTTCTCGAAATCTTTGATATTTTCTCAGCTGGTTATGTTTTTTCGTGAGGATGTTTGGTCATTTGGTTTAGTGATAGTCCCGTCTAGATTGTGTTTGCTATGTGGTTTTCATTGTAATGCGATTTTTTTTTTTTTTTTTTCTTCTTGTTTCTCATAGTTGGTAGAAAGCATGAACGTGCACGTGATGCACTAGTTGGAGCTGCCGTTAAAATTCGCACGGGCAATTATAAGGGATACAAGGGATGTGTTGTAGAGGTCAAAGGTTCTGTGGTCCGGGTAGAGTTAGAGTCGCAAATGAAGGTTGTTGCAGGTAATTAAGTTCTTTTATTGCAGCAAATTGAACCAGTTTGGCTGAATTTGAATTTTGGCCCAAACGATATACACTCGTGTTTGTGTATTAATTCGGAATTGTTTGTGCAGTTGATCGCAGTCACATTTCAGACAACATGGCCAATGGTTCGACACCGTTTAGGTAAGAAAAACTGTACCATATGACTTGTGATAGGGAAACCATATATATAGAATTGTAGAATTATTAATTTGAAGCTGTTTTTGATGGAAACACATATTATTCCTGATGTGGCATTGGAAACGAGACGCCAATGCATTTATCACAAACTCCCATGCACCCGTATCGTTATGAAGGTATGAGAACGCCCATGCACGACCGCGCATGGAATCCCTTCACACCAACGAGGGATTGTGGTTCTTCGACCCCAAGTTTAGGTTGAATAATACTTCCTCGTCTGGAGGCCATTGCTGCCTGATATTCTTAAGCCGGTGCATAGTTGGCTAGTTTAAAGGTTTTCTACAAATGATAGATTTTGTGGTTTTATAAGTAAGTGATAATTGAAGTTGTACAAAGGATTTTTTTTTTTTTTTTTTGGTACAAAGGATAATTTTTTTTTAGTTGGTGATAGATTCAGTCAACCTTCAGTCGTTTGTTGGATATATATATTTGACCTGTTATTTGATTATTTGTATAATTTGATTTATGAAATATTTTTTTATTGAGCTACTTTTTCACTTCATTTGTGTAAAAGAGAAGTCAAAGCTTGAGTATTTTGAGCCGGAGATCAGTTTTGTGCAGTGTTCATGCATATGATAATTAAAAATATCAAAATATCCCAATTCAAGTAAAAATTTGAGCCAAAATCGAACAATATTCTCTTTAAATTCAAGCTGAAATTGAGCATTTGTATAATAAAAGGCTTCTCGTCGACCATAAGAAAAATTGAGCCACACTGCTCCACAAGAAAAATTGAGCCACACTGCTCCACTATCAGTTTTACACTTGGAATTCAGTTGGCATTAATTAACTTTATAATCTAGAGATTATATATAAAAAAGGTAATAAGTACGTATAATAAAATGGAAAGAAAAGAAATTATAACAACCCAAGAAAGATGGAAAGAAAAGAAATTATAACAACCCAAGAAAGAGAAACTAACTTCCATTAAATTCAAATTTTATGGCATGCACTGCAAGTTCGTAGCTTCCAAACGAAAACGAAACCCACTTGAAAAATTCCGGCGCAGGTAATAGATTCTCTCTCCTTCTCCTTCTCCTCCTCCCCTTCTTCCTCATTCCAATTTTTTTTTTTCCTTTCCTGGTTTTCCCTGTCAATTGTCTGGTTCATCCCCTTACTTAACTGGTTCTTTTTCTTTGTGAAGTTCTGTAAAAAACAGAGTCGATACGAAGCTGTTTCTCATAACGTGCATTCAGAGAAGCCAAATCGTACTTTTCTTGTTCTTATTTTAGCCCACATTTCCATTATCTTCTTCTTCTTTTAATTTTTCCCTTTTTTT